TTCTATGAACTGGTAAATCCTGGACAAACTCTGCATTTTTCTATATTTTTCGTCATAGTTGTTACCAATTTAAATGTAGATACATACATTATACAGTAAGTTTCAGTTTGCCTGAAAAGGTGGCTGAAAGCTATTTGTAAATTGACCTAATCATAAATCGAAGGAATACCATCTAGAGAGTCTTGCAAGACCAACGATTTGGTAAAAAACGGAACAAGGAAGCATTTACTGATATTGCTAATAATAAGAAATCTAATAATCATCAAGATGTATGCGATAAGTAGCACAACTATCGTCCATGCATTCCCTCTCCGTTTATACATACCAATAGCCTAGAAGCATGCGGGCCAGTAGCAATGGGCTTTCTTTGAATTCGGGAGACAATAAACCAGGTTCACATGTAGACAAAGTGCTAAATATTGTAACAATTGGCGTGGGATTCACTGTGGAAAGAGAGGAATATTCAACGAAAATTATGACCCTACAAAAACTATTTTTATTCATGATGTCGACAAGGATTAAGTAGAATTCTTGCAACAATCTGGCCTCTGAATGCTGTGCCTGGTAGTCACAGACTTGCATGAAAAACCAGTGAGCCTGGTTAATGCCAAAAAATACAAAGCTCCAATTAATCGAGCATAAACACATCGAGGAAATGAGGTCTCGAAAGCTGACTCGCAAACGCCCTGCGTTGCCTGCTTCTACGTCTGAACTGACAGAGTTTGACGGTTGGCAAGCTGATCAAGCCAGACGCGCAAGGTCACCAAGATGCTTAACTTCGGCACATGTATATGTGCCCATTACAACGACTAACCTCTCCAATACCACTGCGCCCTCCCTCACACATCTTTCCTTATGTCCAACTTGAGCTTGAAGGTCCGTTTCACACACGTGTTCAAGCCTTCTCTCCCGAAGAACACAATGGCACTGCCACATGCAAAGGGACGGCAGAGGATAGTGGCCGTAACCAGATCATTTGCACTCCCATTCCTCGATAGCATTTGTATTCTGGCGGCCAAAGCACTTGATTGTCCTGAGGGGCAGTGTGAATAGAAAAGATTGGGAATTCGCCAAATTCAGCTGTTTTTTACAAGCTAACATAAAGGGCTTATACACCGGACGGACTTGTGAGTATAAGCAAGAGTTCAGCTTCAAAATGCAATCAGCACTGTAATTTTGTGTAAAGGATCGAGGTGAAGAAATGCATTTTCTGAACTAAATGTGCACCTAAGATGATGCTCAGGGTCGGAAAATCCAAGAAATTAACATGTTGGAATTGTGAAATATACTCAAATTATGGAAAAAACTCCTGTATAGAACTTATTAAAAGAGAGATTCAGTAACGCACTATAGAAGTGAATGGTGAAGGGTTTGAGGGTTTTGAGGTTATTTAGGTAATGTCTCTACAACAACTACATGAAAATATCATTAAATTTCCACGAGAAATTTTTCCAAAAGTTTTTCTCATACAGGACAAACAGAAGTATCGACCTAGCCCGCATTCCATCAGTAGCCATAACTGGAAAATAAAGCGAATCGAGACGAAATCAATCCGCAGCTGGTAGTTTTGAACTATTCATAAATCATGAAATTAGATCACGCAGAGAACTTATTAAAAGTACAAGTCAGTAGAGCAATACGGAAGTGAATAGTGGGAAGTAAAGGCCACGTGTGAAGGAACGCAGATACACAAATCCCATATGTCCTCAATACCGTTAAAAGAATGTTGCTGCATTAAATTCAGAAAATAGGAAAAAATGGGGTCCAAAGTTATAGCAAGTCCATGGGTAATTCCAGTTGTTCTACACAGGTTTGATATTAATTCCAATGACGTCCAGGTTGTCG